ATAAAGAGGTCCTCAGTAAATGTGCCATATTTGTTAGCTCAAGAAGAAAAAATTCTAGGGATTCATTTCCTTAAAACAACACTATTACCAAAAACAGAGTGGCTGCTACCGACACATATCAAGTATGTTTAGAGTCAAGTTAGTCTTTGAAGTTTGATAAGCCTGGATTGTTTTAATGGAAGAGAAACCAGCCTTGATTGCTGGTCTCTGGGTGTGCACACTGCTAAATCTTGTACTACCTTAGCTGGACTCCTGGCTCTGGGTCACTACACTCTTTTTAGAGTAGATGGTGCTACCAAAGCAAATTTCTATATAGATTTAGCTCTGGTGTGTGTGTGTGTGTGTGTGTGTGTGTGTGTGTGTGTGTGTGTGTTGCTGGGGATTGAATCCAGGGCCTTGTGCATGTGAGGCAAGCACTCTACCAATTGAACTGTGTTCCCAGCCTGCTCTGGTCTTCTTCAGTCCTAAGACTCTTGGACCTGACGATCTGCACTAAGTCAGTCTCCTTGTTAATCCCTCTCTGATTTTGACTCATGCCCATCTCATGACTCATGCTGCTTTTCTAATCATTGGATTTCTTTTCTTCACTCTGGCCTTTCATCTGTCTATTTCCCTGATTTCTTGTAATCTTGTGCCTTCAAGACAGGATCCTTCCCTGACTACCACTCTCCATAACACATTATTTCTAGGAATTGGGATCTTCCAGTTTTCTCTAGTTCCTGTGACTGGATCTTGCTACTTGCTGCTGGTCATCTTGGCACTGACATCTCATGTACCCAGATACCTCCTTTTAAGTGGTGCTGACCTTCTTGCTACCCTGGGTCTCTATAATTTGGCTCTCCCTGTTTTCTAGGCTGTTCTATTGCCAAATTAGCTGAGGTAGGAATGTCTCCTCTCCACTAAACAGTTCTTTGTTGGGTCTGGAGAGGGACTAAGAGAAAAGGAAGAAACAAAGAGAAAAAAGTAGGAGAGGGAAGAAGGGAGAAGAGAGATAAAGAGAAGTTGGTTTGCAAAGAGTTTTTCTCATTCTTATCAGATAGCAAACAGGAAATGAGCTGGGTGAGACATGTATGAAAACAGATGTGGTATCATTGTGAACTCAGAAATATTGGCCAGCTTTTCTTGTAGAAGGTCATATGGATCCATACTCTAGGGTGAGATCTATTTCCTGAGATTTGCTGTTCTAGGAAATCTCATCATCTTCTGTGTAAGCAGAAGATGCAGTTCAACCCTCAATCTACTAAGGAAACAGTTATGTTTAACATTATCTTAAAGTGGAAATTGAAACTCCATCCTCTTCAGTGACAGGTGGCAAATTTCTGCCAGGTTGATCTTTACTAATCTTTCCAAGCCACCCATTCATGAGAAAGCAAGGTTTGTACCTGAGTTGGTTCCTTTTAAAAGGCCTGTGCTGACTAAACCTCATCCCTTCTTTCCGTCTTCTCTATCATTGGAAATAGTAGTGAAATTACCATTCTGCAATTCTAGTCACCCTATCAGGGAAAACTAGTGGAATATGCTAAAGTTGTTTTTCTCTCTTTGATCCACTCTAAATGAACTACTCAGAGCTTTGGGTGTTTTAGAAATGTAATAGGCCAGAACTGGGGATATAGCTCAGTTGGTAGAATGATTGCCTTGCACGTACAAGGCCCTGGGTTCAACCCCCAGCACCACACACACACATAAAAAAAAATTCAGTGGACCATCATCAAATACAACATGTAAGTACCTACTAATGAGCACTTACTGTGAGATGGACACAGTGTTGTGCTAATAAACAGCTTCAAGGAAATGAAAAACCAAGCCCTGATTTGGATTGCTGCCAATTTCTATGGTGTAAATATTCTTACCATGGCTAATTTCAAGCTGTCAACATTGGGAAGAACTGAGAATCAAAACTGGAAATTGATGTGCAGAAAAACTTCTCACCCACCAGTAACAACTATTCTAGTGTACTATAGGCATTTTACAAATGTCATTTCTTTCAGTTGCCATTACATCTCCATGGATTAGGTGTTATTATTATTATCTCCGTTTTATAAATCAGAAAACTGATGTTCAGAGAGATTAAGCAACTCTTTGAAAACCACAATCCTACAAAAGAAATTTCAGAGATTTGCATCTAAGTTTGTTGATTCCAGGTATATGCCCATCTATGATAGATGGTCTTGTGTTCTGTGAACCAGTTCATTTCTAAGCTTAGAAAGTATCTTCAAGCTCTTTTTGTAGTCAGTCAATTCAAAGTCAAATCCACTAGTACCACAAAATTCTGTGTTTCCATTTATTATAGAGGAATTTTTTTTCTCTGAGTGAAGCATTTGTTTTACCTTGTGCAGAAGTATTTACTTGGGGGAACCTAGTCTTGTGCTCACCAAACAGGGATGTACCAATTGGTTATTACATGCAACAGAAAGGACTCAAGGGTGTCATTTGGGGCACACACATACACACTTTCTTACACCAGTTAAGAGTTTTATAAAGACTTTATAGGTTAAGAATAAACCCAACAATTTTCTTGATCTTTATGGTGATCAGGCTAATTGTGCCTAGAATGTCTCTATCATTAGATACAATTTCAGTTTTTTCTCTATAGGATAGGAGTGGGAAAGGAACTACCATTTTTTATGGTCTTAGATTTCTTCCAAAGTCAGATTTGTTGTTCACAAATAGCCCAAAACAGGATACATAAATTTGGAAAATGAATTCACAAAAGGACAAAAAAGACAAGTGGATTCACTCATGCTAATGTCTCCAGATGGCGCTGAGCACAGAGCACAGCCCTGTCCTTGACATAGCTTGCATATGTATGTCTCACATTTCAGAGGGCATCTGAACAAGTCTAGTGTGTTCTTGAAAATATTGCTTCATCAGGATAATTGCTAAGAAGTTTGCACCCCAAAGGAAGTTAGAACCATTTCCTCTCAGTCAGACCTCTGAGCCTCCCCACTCCCTCTTCAGAGCTATTTTTATTAGTTAATTCTCTTAGCCAGTGGCAAAGGGGACCTTTATGTTATAAGGATCAGTGAGAGTTTGAGGGGGTATCCTTTCCTAGCTGCCCTCTGGATTGTAACCAGAGCTTAGAGCCACCACTGCTCATCCATCTCCACCCTGTTGCCCTGATCTTCAGCACTAGCTTCTGATGAACAGTTTCCTTGACAACCAGAGTAACACCTCCAGTCTGCCACCTCTGAGATGAAAAGGGTAACGAAAAGCATAAGGTAAGAGAAGTTAATCTTCAGCATACACTTAAAAGGAATTGCAGTTTCATCACCAATGATTATTTAACATCAACATCCAAATCGAATGGTCAATTTTTATCTCACCTTTGGAGGTATTATTTTCTTTTTTGATATTTGTCCCAGAGGATCTATCTTCTTCCTTTTGTTAATTGAGTCCCATTTCTAGAAGGCAAAGGCCTAAAATAGTTTTCCTCAAGCTGGAGGTTAGGATTCTTCAAGAGGTCACAGGTCCTGCTGATACAGAGAAAGAGCAGAGAATGAAAAACTGCAGATTCTCAAACAGGAAAAAAACAAAAAACTATCAGTCTCCAGAATTTTCTTCCTCTAATTTTGTCAGCTTCCCAACTTTCTTGGTTTGTTTATTCTTTCCTGACATCTCCACAAGACAAGATGACATAGATGACTGACAGGAGAAAGTTGAGCAAGATAACAAATGATGTAGAGGAAAGCATAATTGGCAGAAAGATGGTTTTAGACTACTGTTTACTACTGCTTCTCAAAGTTTACCAAATCACTGAAAAGTATGGCTTATTTCTTTGGGAAGACCTGAACTATAGACCATCATGACCTCTTTAGATTATTATTCATTCTTTTCAAATAGTATTGATGTAAACATAATGTGCTAGATATAGAGAGGAATAAGATGAGTTTTCAGAGAGATTATATGGGAATCTTAGCTTTTTCCTCTCCAATCTTTGGTTCCTCAGGAAATTAAAAAAATCTCTATCTAACCAGTATAAGGCAGGAAAGTAGCCACATTTACCAAAAATGATTGAGATTAGGAGTCTAGCTGAAAATTGGGGTATGACAGGATAGATTCAAAGAATTATATTGTGCCAACTGAAGAAGTGTGCTGAGTCAAATGAAGCAGTCATGTCCCGTGGGACTAGAGAGGACAATAAAGGTAGAATACAGTGTAGGTAAGCTCTGATCCTAGAGAAAAGACTCTCTGATCCTTGCTGTTTTGGCTATTTGCTTGCCTCTCAGTGGCCTTGACTGCATGGTTCACAACCCCAGCAAGAAGGATATCCCAGGTCTACAATGGAACCATGATTCTCTCTGGAGATTGGGAAGGAGAACTCTGAGATCATCTTTTACAGTTTTATATTTATTATTCGATACAGTCATCTTCTAAAACAGTTTTAAAAAAATAGTAAAAATTACATTTATACCACCTTTACCTCTTTCTACAAAGGCACTTCTCCTGATGTGCTTAATTTCTTCATGTGGATTTGAATTACTATCTGGTACCATTTCTTTTTAGATTTTTGTATTTCTTGTAAGGCAGATCTGCTGTCAATGAGTTTCCTGTTTTACTTTTCTGGGAAATGTCTTTATTTTGTCTTCACTTTTGAAATATGGTTCAGCTGAATATAAAATTCTTGATTGATAGCTCTTTTTCTTTTGGCACTTTGAATATGTCATCTCACTGTTCTCAGCTCTTCACTCTTTCTGTTGAGAAGTCAGCTGTTAATCTTATTTAGGTTTCCTTGTATGTGATGAGGCATTTTCCTCCTGCTGTTTTCAAATTTTTTTCTTTATCTTTTGACAATTTGACCATATTTGAGTTTATTCTACTTAATATTTGTGCAGACTTTTGAATATATTAAGATTAATGGATTTTTTTTTGTTTTAAATCGAATTTGGAACCTTTCAGTTATCCTTCTGATATCCCCATCATTTGAATATTGATTTGATTAATGGTATCTCACAGATCTCTAAGACGCTGTATTTTTCTCCATTCTTTTTTCTTTCTGTTCTTCAGTTTGGATAATCTCTTTGTCTCCAAGTTCATTTATTCTTTTTGGCGAGTTCAAATCTGCTATTGAGCTCCATTAGTGAAGTTTTCATTTCAGTTATTGTACTTTTCAACTCCAAAATTTTTATTTGTCTTTTTAAAAAATTTTATAATTTCTGTCCTTATTATTATCTGTATAAGTGAGGCATTGCTATTGTACTTTCAATAATTATTTAAACATTATTTCTTTTAGTTCTTTGACCATATTTATAACAGTGATTTGAAATCTTTGTCTATTAAGTTCTACATCTGGGTTCTCTGAGGGACAGTTTCTATTGCCTTTTTTCTCTCTGTATAAACAAGTTTTACTGTTTCTTTGCATTTCTGGTAATTAAAAACAACAATGGAATGTTTTAGATAATATATTGGAACAACTCTGGGTTCTGATCCTCTCAAAGATTAGTTACTTTTGTTGCTTTGCTTGTTTGGTGACTTGCCTAAACTGAGTCTGTTCAATGTGTGGCCTATGAAGTCTTTACTCCAGTTTTTAAAATTTTTAACTACTGTTTTTATTTTTAAGCCAGGTTTCCTATAGTGGTTGTCCCTGGGTCAGCATAGCTGAATGGTAATCCAGTGATTGTTCCCAGAAATTTACCTTAAACACCTTGAACTAACAAGGCTCCCACTCTTGTTAAGAGGTCTCTGTATGGGCTGGTGTACACATTTAAAGTTCAGACAGTTTATAATTCTTCCTTAATGTTCACTTTCTGTTTGCACAGAGCCTTATGGTCAGCCAGAAATTCTGAGACCCTCTGGTTTTTCCTGGGTGTGAATGCAATCCTGTATGCATATTCATCCAGATCCCAAGGAATATATTTGAGATTTTTAAAACTACTTTGGCTGTCTTATTTTTCCAGATATTTCTCTTAAATTTTTTTCTGATCTCTTGTTTGCTCCTACAAGTTCTGCAGCCTTGGACAGATACACTGTTGGCTCTCCCAGTTGTTTGCCACTTATTACTATTGGTTTAAAAATGCTTTGGTTATGGGACTTTTCTGGGAAGCTTGAGATCAAATCAGGCCCATCCTTGATAGTGAGGCCTGATTTGATCTTAGTGACTATTTTACCAAGGACTTATATGGAAGGGATGGGAACAACTCCAAATTAAAATGTCATAGAGTCCACTGTTCTTACTGAGATTTGTTAGTTTTCCTTGAATGAATACTTTCCAATTTATTACATGCTTTTGACTATTTCCAGAGTTTTGAAATGGTTGCTTTCAATAATTTTGCCAGTTTCATTAGTGCTTTCTAAAGGATGATTTACCAAAGTTCTCACTCCAGTGTTGTGAAAGTGCCCAAGTCTCTCAGTACCTCTGTTTGGCCCTTGGAAATATAATTAATTATAAGAAAACTCTAGCCACAGAAACCCAGTGAATGACTGGTTGGTATGATAACAAAATAATTACAAACAATTAAAAATTGATTTATACAACTTAACAAGAAACTCAGTTTGAAATATATGTAACTAAGAAATTTTTTAGAATTGTTATCACAAAGTGATATTCAATAAATAAGCCTCCTTTTGACAGTCTTATATCATTCTTTACAGATTTCAACCAGTACAGTTGAAATCTGTAAAGAATGAAATTTTTTCTAGTCATCTTTTTAAGGATCTGTCTTCTCTACTGAACTATGAGATCCTTGAAATAGGGACAGTATTTTAATAATCTAAGTGGTCTCACAACATGTGACCAGAGTTCACAGTAGTTACTCAGTAAATTCTTACTCAGTGTTGTCAAATGTTGTAGATACTTTCAGAAATGGTCCAAGGATAAGAGAAATCTAATAGTGCCTAATCTGTGAAACAGTCTGGACTTTACTTCCCAAAAAATCCATCTTTGAACATGTAAATATCAGAAATTAATGTGATTTATTCTTTTATACATACCTTATAAGCATTTATCTAAATCTAATTTGATATGCATTTTTTCAAAGTTTATTTTAAAAATGTTTTGAATGTATTCATTCTATTGTATACAAAAATGTATTAGCTTTGGTGGCCAGTTTAACTATAGAAATATGACTTAATTAATATAATTTTTAAAACATCTCAAAAATGTGCAAAGAATTAAGTCAATTTCTATTGAAATTGAGTTTCATATAGTAAATTTAATTATTTGAGATAATAGCATTGGAAATTCTTAATGACGTATTACCACAATATTCTTTTACCATTTAAAATTTACTTTTTATCAAAATAATAATTACATATATTTATGGGGTACAATGTGAATATTTTTACATATGTATACATTGTAAAATGATCAAATATCAAATTAGGCTAATTAACATAGACATTGCCTGTGTACTTATTTATTCATGAAGAGAACATTAAAAATCCTTTCTTTTAGCAAATTTTTGAAATATACATTATTATTAACTATAGTTACTTTGCTGTGCTAATAGAAAACCAGAAGTTGTTCTTCCTCAATTAAAATTATTATTTTTTGACTATCATCTCTCCTTTCTCCCTGCACTATCTCCTGCTCCTTAGTTTCTGGTAACCACCATTCTACTGTCTACTATTATGAATTTTTTTTAAATTATACATATAAGGGATCATGTAGTGTGTCTTTCTTTTTTTTAAAAATATGAATCTTTTTTGTAGATGGACACCACACAATGCCTTTTTTTTTTTTATGGTGCTGAGAATCGAATCCGGGTCCCACCCGTGCTAGCCAAGCGCTCTACTGCTGAGCTACAATCCCAGCCCTGTAGTGTGTCTTTCTATGCCTGGATTATTTCATCTAATGTAATATCCTCTATATCCATCCATGTTTTGACAGATGACAGAATTTCCTTCTTAAGACTGAATAGTATTGCTTTGTGTGTGAATTCAGATTTTTATCCATTAATTCTTCAATGAGCTTCTTGCTTATTTCCATTATCTATTATGAATAGTTCTGCAGTGAATATGGAAGTTCTGATCTCTCAAGATACTAATTTCACTTTCTTTTGAATATATATATATATATATATATATATATATATATATATATATATATA